TAGTACTTTACAAAGTGCTTAGGGACAATGCTCCCTCCCATAAGTACAGTGAATCCTACACCTAAGCTCTGCCTATATATCCAGAGCCTGGTGGAGTCTAGGTAGGATCACCAAGTGAAAAAAAGCATAGATAGACAAAAGCTGCAAGGGAGACAGGAATATGATGTCTATGATTACGAGAGTATGAGATACAAAAGAGCATAAACGCTTCTTGGTACGCCTCTAAAAACCCAACCAACACCGCAAAAAAAACCCCCCGGAGGAACAATGTTTCAAGAGCTATAAAGAGGTGAAAAGAAGCTATAAAAATTTATGTGATGTCTTGTTTATTTCCATTTCCTCATCTAATAGTTGGACCGGCCTCTTGTTTGTCGTCTCTGGTGCATATGAGTCAGCAAACATCTAATGATGATTGATTGACATTTAAGATTCTTTACCTATTCGGACGCGAGGGCTGGCCACCGCCCCTACCACCTCCACCTCGCCCGCCTTTACCATTACTCCCGCGCTTAGGGTTGATAAACACGGCGGGCGGTCCGGACTTCCGCTGAGCCTTCTTTTTGTTCTGCGGGTGTATAGCCTGTGTTGAGTATTAGAGATCGGAGGGAAGCATGATCGGGTTGGTTGGTTGCGGGAGGACTTACTGGCACCGTCGAGGGCCCGGGAGTGGCCTGGCTAGACGAGCTTGGTTGATTTTCGACATGTTGGCGCTTGGAAGAAGCCTCGCTCTCTCTGTCAATTGGTCGCTTCAGTGCTCCAGCGGGCTGATTAGGCAATTGATTGTATTCCTGGGTGGGGCGCTCATGGCGTTGGCCTTGCATACGATCGTTGCCCCCGACCGGGGGAGGCATGGGTCTTGGTCCAGGGCCATTCGGGTTGCGCGAAGGATGATTGCTGGGGCCCTGGCGGTTAGGACAGACGTTAGCAATATGTCCAGGCTGATTACACACAAAGCATAGCCGGGCGCGAGAGGGGTTTGGCCGGTGTTGTGTCTGAGGTTCTGGTTCATCAATATCCATGGCATCTGGAT